TTAAAAACACTACCAAACCCCCACAAAACCGTTTTGGTTCTAGACTTCCGTACTTAATACTTATTTCAAAGGCTTTTTGCAGGAAAAGATCCTCCTTCCCTGTGGATTCGATCCCTAAGTACTACAATCGATCAGCTGTGCACTTGCGGCTATTGATTTCAATTAGGGTAAAACTTGACAACCCTCGACACAACCACATCAAGTCACCATCACCATCTACACTTTCTCGTTCACTTAAAGGCAAGGGAGTTAGATCCAAGGGAGATAAAGGATTAAAACCATAGACAATTGGAATGGAGAATACTTAGAAGCAGAATGAACAGAATGATTATATGCAAATTCTACATGCGGCAAACAATCTTCCCAAGTTTTGAGATTCTTTTTAATCAGGGCTCGCAACAATGTAGATAGAGTTCTATGAACTACTTCAGTTTGCCCATCAGTTTGAGGGTGACAAGTAGTGGAGAACAATAATCGAGTGGCTAACTTAGACCATAGGGTTTTCCAAAAGAAGCTTAAGAACTTGGTGTCTCTATCAGACACAATAGATCTAGGCATGCCATGCAATCTTACGATTTCTTTAAAGAACAAATGAGCTACATGCGAGGCATCATCAGTTTTGTTGCATGCTATGAAGTGTGTCATTTTAGAAAACCTCTTAACTATAACAAATATCGAGTCCTTTCCGGTCCTAGTTCTAGGTAATCTAAGCACAAAATCCATAGATATGTCATTCTAAGGATGCGAAGGTATAGGCAAAAGGGTATACAAACCGTGAGGCTTAAGTGTGGACTTAGCCTGTTTACATGTTGAGCACCTTGCACAAATCCTCTCCACGTCTCTCTTCATGTGTGGCCAATGAAAATGGTCTTGCATTACTTTCATGGTTTTAGCAACCCCAAAATGCCCCATGAGGCCACCTCCATGAGCTTCCCTGACTAATAAGTCTCGAATAGAGCAGTTAGGAATACACAAGCGATTATCAAAGAAAAGAAATCCTTCTTGTCTAAAGTATCGGCCACTAGCAAACTTTTCACAGGCTTGGTATATCTCTTTAAAATCAGTATCAGAAGCATACATATGTTTTAGCTGTTCAAAACCAATCAACTTAGCATCAAGAATAGAGAGTAGAGTATACCTGCGAGACAATGCATCGGCTACAACATTGTCCTTACCTTGCTTATACTTGATGACATAAGGAAAGGTTTCGATGAACTCGACCCACCTGGCGTGTCTTTTATTAAGCTTTTGCTGTCCCTTCAAATGTTTAAGCGACTCATGATCGGTGTATGACAAATTCCTTGGGCCACAGGTAGTGTTGCCACGTTTGAAGAGACCGAACTAAAGCATATAGTTCCTTGTCATAAGTTGGATAGTTTAAAGTGGATCCTCCGAGTTTCTCACTAAAGAAGGCTATAGGCTTCTTATCCTGCATCAAAACTGCACCAATGCCTATACCAGAGGCGTCACACTCTATCTCAAAGGTTTTAAGGAAATCAGGTAGAACAAGTAAAGGGGCATGAGTGAGCTTATCCTTTAGGACCGTAAAAGCTTTTTCTTGTGCTGATCCCCACTTGAATCCCACGTCTTTTTTTATGATCTCAATGAGAGGGGCAGCTAGAGTGCTAAAATCTTTGACAAACCTCCAATAAAAACCGGCGAGACCATGAAAGCTCCTCACATCTCCAATGCTCTTAGGGGTTGGCCATTCCCGAATTGCTTTAACATTTTCCTCATCTACTTTGATGCCATCTGCACTCACCACAAATCCTAAAAACACAAGGTTATCTGTACAAAATGTGCACTTCTTCAAATTTGCGTACAGCTTTTCTTTCCTAAGCACATCTAGCACAGATTTCAAATGATCAATATGCTCTTCCAAGTTTTTGCTATAATATATCATCAAAATATACGACCACAAAAACTCCTATGAACGCTCTAAGCACATGATTCATTAATCTCATGAATGTACTAGGTGTATTAGTTAACCCAAATGGCATAACAAGCCACTCATATAGCCCATGCTTAGTTTTAAATGCAGTTTTCCATTCATCCCCTTTTTTCATCCTAATTTGATGATAACCACTTTTTAAGTCTATCTTAGAAAAGATACTAGAACCATGTAATTCATCTAGCATATCATCAAGCCTAGGAATGGGGTGTCGATACTTCACCATGATATTGTTGATTGCCCTACAATCGACACACATGCGCCAGCTTCCATCTTTTTTGGGAACAAGTAGCACAGGCACGACACAAGGGCTCATACTCTCTCGGATATGTCTCTTCTCCATTAGCTCATTCACCTGCCTTTGTAACTCCTTAGTCTCCACCGGATTGGTCCTATACGCAGGCTTATTAGGCAATGATGCACCAGGAACAAAGTCAATTTGGTGTGTAATGTCTCTAATGGGTGGTAACTCTTTCAGATTATCCTCAGGAAACACATCTTGATATACCTGCAAAAGATCATTCATTTTACTCGGCAGAGCCGGTGCCAGGTCAGTAATATTTGCAAGTGCTTCTTTAAACACAAATAAAAGGATAGGTTGCTTGGAAATGAGAGCTTTCTTAACATCACCAGCCCGTAGAAAGAAATTAGAGGATTTCTTAGGCGGCTTCTCTTTTTGCTTCATTTGGACTTGATCCTGGTATACCTCTTGCGGTGTTAAAGGAATCAGTGTGATTTTCCTGCCATGGAAAACAAAAGAATGCTTATTAGTAAAGCCATCATGTAAAACTTTTCTATCGGATTGCCAAGGTCTCCCGAGAAGAATATGTCCAGCCTCCATTGCTAGCACGTCGCACAGAACTTCATCTTCATATTTTCCAATAGAAATAGGCACCAAGACTTGATTCTGAACCTTCATTTCCCCGGTTTCATTAAGCCATCGCAACTTGTAGGGTCTCGGGTGCTTGGTCATCTTTAGTCCAAGTTTCTTGACCATTTCCTCACTAGCTACGTTTGTGCAGCTTCCTCCATCAATAATGAGACTACAGACTTTGCCTTGGACCAGACAACGGGTATGAAACAAGTTTTATCTTTGCTCTTGCTCTTCTTCTTTGCTTTGAATGTTCAATGTCCTCCGAGCTACAAGTAACTCTCCACTAGCCGGTATAGCCTCATATTCCTCAGTAGATTCAGAATCGTCTAGCTTTTCTTCCTCTGACTAAAATTCTCCGCTGCTTAAGAGGACTATTACCCTCTTGTTGGAGCACTCATTCGCGTAATGACCTCGACCGTGACACTTGAAACATCGGACGTCTCTAGAACGAGTTGTTGTAGTTTCTGGCTTGCTTCTGATGTCTTGAATTATTACCGGTGGCTTAACATCTGATTTTGGATTCACCATTGTCTTGTTATCTTTTTGGTAACTCGGTTTTTCTTCCTTTGGATAGTTGGCCTTAGTGGGGATACTAACTCCATAATTAGTTTTAGCCGGATGCCTTCTCTTGAGCTGTTGCTCGATCAAGATTGCTTTGTGCAGCATCTCCTCTATTTCTTCATATTGTTGCATCTCTAGCCGATCTTGGATCTCTCGGTTCAGTCCTCCCAAGAATCTAGACATTGTAGCTTCACTATCTTCAGTAATCTCAGCTTGCAGCATTAGAGTTTCCAGTTCTTGATAATAATCTTCCACCGTACGAGTGCCTTGGGTGAGTCTCCTGATTCGTTGGTGTAGCTCCTGGTGATAAAGACTCGTCACAAATCTCTTTCTCAGCAAAGACTTTATTTCAGACCAAGATTCAACCGGATACTGCTGATTACGCCTTCTAGAAGTCACAATTTGATCCCACCAACTTAGTGCATAGTCGTCGAACTCTGTTGCCACCACCTTAACTCGGTTTATCTCAGTATAGTGTTGACAACTGAAGACCAACTCAATCTTTTTTTCCCAGTCTAGGTACGCATCAGGATCATTCTTGCCGTGAAATGGAGGAATGCGTAGCTTGAGGCCTCCTAAACTATCTGGAACGTAGCCTTATCTTCTTTAGCTCGCCTATGCTTCCCTCTACTACCTCTAGACGAGCTGCTCTCTTGACCATAGTATATATCGGCCTCCTCATCTCTGGTGCTCTTATTTGGCTCTTGAACCTTTTCTTTTCCATGATCTCTTCTCCTCGTTTCTTTGTTTGATCTCGAATCAGAATGATGTTGTTGCATCTCTTGTCTGAACTCTTCAAGTTGATAGGTCATGAGTTTCTTCATCTCGGCCATCATGGCTTCCATCATTAGTTTATTGAAACCATTGCCACTGGTCTCCTCGTGTTGATCCGACATAGTTCCTGAGACCAAAGGCAAACAGATCACTAGAGATTTGTCCCAAACTCGATTAAGTTCAAAGAATGACTCTTCGTGTTCCTCAAGAAATCTAAAACCCTAGAATATGATCGGTTTTCATTTGAACTTAAACAAATATTGCCGATGATGTGAATCGATGATAGAAATTTGAAAGACACAATGATTTACTGGTGAAACTTGACGATACAATCATAAACACTAGATCTATATGCGGACTTGATAGATCTAAGAATATGAGATCGAAAAATGAAATGGGTAGAAACAACCTGATGAAATCGTTTCTCCAGTGAATAGAGTGTGCTCTGATACCACTTAATATGATTCTCCCTGAATCGACACTCTAAAGACTGGATCTAATAAGCTTGAACTTCTGAAATACAACGAACTGGAGGGCAAAGGAATGGATCAAGGGGTCGCACAAAGGCTGCGGAAGACCTTTGATTTACCGGTTTGATTCTGAGGATATTACACACCTAAGAGTCGGGTGTTTGGGAGATATGACACACTCACAAACTAAGATGTTCAAAGAACAAATGATCTTTACTTTAGAAAGGTTTTTAGATAAAAGAAAGATGGTTTCTCAAACGAGAGTACAAGAGAATATAAAGGAAAAGAAGAGAGTCTCAGCCATCAATAAGCATATCTAGGAAATACAAGTATGAGCTGTCTAAGTTGAATTCAAATATCTTCACACGCTCCTCTCCGCTTGGCCGTCTCATTTGGATTGGACTTAGTGGACTTTATTGAGAAGGTGATCCAATCTTGCCTCATTAAAAACCCATCACTAGAATACCCATTGGGACAAAACTAGTGATGGGGAAAAAGAGTACAAAATTGGATCACAACTCCACTAAGCTTCGAGGACTTGGATCACAACTAAAGTACTTGTGATGAACTCTTTTTCCTCCTTAGCCGAATATTGTGCTTGTCTTAGAACTCCTCCAACGGCTTCTTTAAGCTTCTTGGTTCTTGATCTTGTCATGGGGCCATTCGGAATGACTAAAGCCTCTTCTGGTTCGAGCTCTTGTTCCTCAGCTACAAGTTCTCCCTCCTCAGGTTCTAGCTCTATGTTTCCAGTGCTCTCCATGATCACATCATCCCCCTTTCTTGAAAAGGATTTGTCTCTATCAGACACAATAGATCTAGGCATGCCATGCAATCTTACGATTTCTTTAAAGAACAAATGAGCTACATGCGAGGCATCATCAGTTTTGTTGCATGCTATGAAGTGTGCCATTTAGAAAACCTATCAACTATAACAAATATCGAGTCCTTGCCGGTCCTAGTTCTAGGTAATCCAAGCACAAAATCCATAGATATGTCATTCTATGGATGCGAAGGTATAGGCAAAGGGGTATACAAACCGTGAGGCTTAAGTGTGGACTTAGCCTGTTTACATGTTGAGCACCTTGCAAAATTCCTCTCCACGTCTCTCTTCATGTGTGTCCAATGAAAATGGTCTTGCATTACTTTCATGGTTTTAGCAACCCCAAAATGCCCCATGAGGCCACCTCCATGAGCTTCCCTGACTAATAAGTCTCGAATAGAGCAGTTAGGAATACACAGGCGATTATCAAAGAAAAGAAATCCTTCTTGTCTAAAGTATCGGCCACTAGCAAACTTTTCACAAGCTTGGTATATCTCTTTAAAAATCAGTATTGGAAGTATACATATGTTTTAGCTGTTCAAAAACCAATGAACTTAGCATCAAGAATAGAGAGTAGAGTATACCTGCGAGACAATGCATCGGCTACAACATTGTCCTTACTTTGCTTATACTTGATGACATAAGGAAAGGTTTCGATGAACTCGACCCACCTGGCGTGTCTTATTAGATCCAGTCTTTAGAGTGCCGATTCAGGGAGGATCATATTAAGCTCTGATACCAAATGATAAGATCTTTCCCAAAGATCGGCACACAGAAGTTGGTAGAAGATAAGCTTTGCATCAAAGAAACCGTGAAGTCTCAATGATCAAAGGATGTGGAGCGAATGGTCACACAGAAGCTGCGGAAGACTCCTGATTTACCGGGTGATCCCTTGGATATGACAAACCAAGATAGATTGGTTGTGACCATGGATATTACACACCATGATCTGATCAATGGATATTACACACCATGATCAAAAGAAGAAAATAAATTTCAAAGGTTTCCAAAAATATTGATTAAAACTTATTCTCTCAAATGAGATTACATGAGTTTAAATAGAAAATAGAAACTTGAAAAGAAAGCTAAACAAATAAATTCTACTCTACATGCACATAACCTAGGGAAATGAATCATTTAATACAAGTCATGCATGTAGAGAAAAATAAAGCCTCCAAATAAATCTTCCTCTTCAATTTTCGTCATTTATTTGGGCCAGAAAATTAAGTGATTATTTTGGGCTTTTCTTGGACTTCTAATAGGCTCAAAATGGGCTGGGCTTGATAGCTAACATCATAGATGGATTCCTTCATGCTCTTCTTGCCCAGATCTTAATAAATCAGCATGTAAAGTGAGTTTTGAAGCATTGACACTTCTCAATTTCCAACAGTACAAACATCACTTCTTCTTCAAGTTCTTTGCTGCCCATGATCACATCATCCTCTCCCTCTTCAAAAGGATTTGTCCTCAAATCCAGATCTCACAATGAAACACATTCTTTTCCCTATTTTTTTTGTCTTTTTTTGTTTTTTTTTTTCATTTTTTCTCTCCCTTTTTTTACTCTTTTTTTTCTTTTTTGTGACGAAAATAAATAATAAAATACAGAAATAAAATAAAATGAAAAAAAAGGATGATGGGATAAAAGACGAAAGAAAGAAGATGAAAATATGAGAAAATGAAAAGAACAAAATGAAGAGATGAGAAGATGAAATAGAAATAGATACCAAACTTTAGAGTGTGCTCTGATACCAAATGATAAGATCTTTCCCAAAGATCGTCACTCAGAAGTTGGTAGAAGATAAGCTTTACATCAAAGAAACCGTGAAGTCTCAATGATCAAAGGATGTGGAGCGAATGGTCACACAGAAGCTGCGGAAGACTCCTGATTTACCGGGTGATCCCTTGGATATGACACACCAAGACAGATCGGTTGTGACCATGGATATTACACACCATGATCTGATCAATAAATATTACACACCATGATCAAAAGATGGGAATAAATCTCAAAGGTTTCCAAAAATATTGATTAAAACTTATTCTCTCAAATGAGATTACATGAGTTTAAATTGAAACTAGAAACTTGAAAAGAAAGCTAAACAAATAAATGCTACTCTACATGCACATAACTTAGGGAAATGATACATTTAATACAAGTCATGCATGTAGAGAAAAATAAAGCCTCCAAATAAATCTTCCTCTTCAATTTTCATCACTTATTTGGGCCAGAAAATTAAGTGATTATTTTGGGCTCTTCTTGGACTTCTAACAGGCTCAAAATGGGCTGGGCTTGATAGCTAACATCATAGATGGATTCCTTCATGCTCTTCTTGCCCAGATCTTGATAAATCAGCCTGTAAAGTGAGTTTTGAAGCATTGACACTTCTCAATCTCCAACAGTACAAACATCACTTCTTCTTCAAGTTCTTTGCTGCCCATGATCACATCATCCTCTCCCTCTTCAAAAAGATTTGTCATCAAATCCAGATCTCACAATGAAACACATTCTTTTCTCTCTCTTTGTTTTTTTTTGTTTTTTTTTTTCATTTTTTCTCTCTTTTTTATACTCTTTTTTCATTTTTTTCTTTTTTTGTGACGAAAATAAATAATAAAATACAGAAATAAAATAAAATGGAAAAAAAAAGATGAAGGGAGAAAAGATGAAAAGATGAGAAAATGAAAAGAATAAAATGAAGAGATGAGAAGATGAAATAGAAATAGATACCAAACTTTAGAGTGTGCTCTGATACCAAATGATAAGATCTTTCCCAAAGATCAGCACTCAGAAGGTGGTAGAAGATAAGCTTTGCATCAAAGAAACCGTGAAGTCTCAATGATCAAAGGATGTGGAGCGAATGGTCACACAGAAGATGCGGAAGACTCCTGATTTACCGGGTGATCCCTTGGATATGACACACCAAGACAGATCGGTTGTGACCATGGATATTACACACCATGATCAAAAGAAGAGAATAAATCTCAAATGTTTCCAAAAATATTGATTAAAACTTATTCTCTCAAATGAGATTACATGAGTTTAAATAGAAAATAGAAATTTGAAAGGAAAGCTAAACAAATAAATGCTACTCTACATGCACATAACCTAGGGAAATGATACATTTAATACAAGTCATGCATGTAGAGAAAAATAAAGCCTCCAAATAAATCTTCCTCTTCAATTTTCGTCACTTATTCGGACCAGAAAATTAAGTGATTATTTTGGGCTCTTCTTGGACTTCTAACAGGCTCAAAATGGGCTGGGCTTGATAGCTAACATCATAGATGGATTTCTTCATGCTCTTCTTGCCCAGATCTTGATAAATCAGCCTGTAAAGTGAGTTTTGAAGCATTGACCCTTCTCAATTTCTAACGGTACAAACATCACTTCTTCTTCAAGTTCTTTGCTGCCCATGATCACATAATGTAGAGACTACATGATCGGCCACTTCTTCTGTGATAGCGAAGAGTCTATCCAAGAGATGAAAGACTTGTTCACACACGCCCAAGAAGATAGACCAGTTCGAACTCTGCACAAAGTTCAAGACAAATGTCAATTTCTTATCTCTTGTGAAATTAGAGGTGAAAGATTCCTTAATATTCTTTGTGATTCTGGATCTTGCATTAATATGATGTCCAAAGAACTACTTTGAGACTTGGCATTAAGCACATTTCAAGTACCAGGACAAAGATTAGCTTAGCAGATGATTCAAGTGCAACTCCAAGAGGGATAGTCCGAGACATTCCTCTAAGGATTGGAGATTGCATAGCACCTGTCGATCTATACATTGTAAAGACCAAAGATGACTCATATCCAGTTATCCTTGAATGGCTTTTCTTAGCAACTGCTGGAGCCATCATGGATTGGCCCAACCAGAGAGTTTGTTTTGCCAACATCGACAAAGATATCTTCTATGAAGCTACACCACTTAAGAGGAAAGGAGAAAAGCATAAAGCCCAGGTATTTGAACCAGAAGAACTCTAGAGTGATGAAGAACCTGCAAGAGAGAACAAGAAGATTATGAAAAAGACTTGTCTTAGGGCAAGATCTTATTTGAACTAAGTCTTTTTCTTTGCAAAGTCTAGCTAAGGACTATAAACCAAAGTGCTTGATGGGAGGCAACCCATTTAGGTACTTATTTGTTTTTGTTTAACTTTCTTTTTCTATTTAAGTTTTGTTTTTCTTATCTTAGACAGGCCTTAGTATGTTTCAAAAAAACAAAAGAAGAAGAAGAAGAAAGGGAGCTGACCGTGACCAAAGGAGGTTCAGCCGCGGCCAGCAAGTGTTCGACTGTGGCCAAATGAGGTTCAGCCACGGCCAGCAAGCGTTCCACCGCGGCCGCGTCACCTTGACACGCGACCAGCACCAGTCCAGCCACCGTTGGCCACTTCCACCTCCACCTTGATCAAATTGGGACTGATTTGGATTCCTGAGATCCAAGTTTGATCAAGCACCACTCCATATCAACCACCATCCATCATTCACTATCCTACCACCTCCATGACCACCTCACAATCCATCACCAATACCAGGTAAGTTTTCTTTTCCTTCATCTTTTAAATTTTCACATACTCTGTTTCTCATCCTTGCCTGATTTTATTTCACACTGGAGGCAGCATGATTTAAGTATGGGGGAGGATTTCATCTTTTTCTAACCACATTTTCTTGCATGAGCCCTGCATTCTGCATTTTCTTTAAAACACTACAAGAAATATGCTTATTGATAGCACATTTTAATAGCGTAATATTTGTAACGGCTATTAAATGTCATTTTCGGAATAGGGTACTCTAATATAGCACTTAAAAAATGCTAAAGAGTAAATAATGTGAGCGGGAACAAAAAAAAGGCTTTGGCTCGCATAAAACACTTATGCCCGCCAACACTTAGTAAAAATTTCATGTTATAGACAAAACATAACAACATTCTGTCGACTAAAAAAAAAAACCATTTTCTCGGGTGAGCAAAAAATAGAAAGTTCTAGGGTTTACAAGAGAAGAGAGTGATCTCAAATTCATCAAGCCGATTAACAATCTGACGTCTCTGAAACCCTCATCGTCGGAAATCTCTTTCACCAGTGTCGATTTCGGGTTTAGATCAGGTCATCTTGATTCCTGTTGGAGTTAAGCTCTCGATTTTGGAGATTTCTGGGTTTAGCAGGAAATTTTCGGCGATTGAGGCAGAGTTGTTTGTCAAGTTCAGCGGAAACTAGACGACGCACATGCAAAGGTAACTCCAATTTCACTCTTCATAAACCCTAAATGTAATTCCATCATTCGATTCATTTAATTCTTATACTTGTTTTACTTACTACACTTTCATTCTCATTTCTTCCCTCTTGAGGTTTCGAAGCTGAAGAGAAACTAAAAGACAGCGAGAAGACATCAAATACATAGGCGAACAAAGCTCAATCGTGTCTGATTTCATCGATAATCAAGGTAAATGTAACTCGTTAATCGGTTTAGGGTTTACACAGAATTGATACGAAACTCATTTATATTGAACTCTACTTTGTCTTCCGGAGTACTTTTAGGGTGTTTGTTTAGGGTTGAGTCGTTTAGCTAACAATTGTTATTAAGGTTGGAGTATACAATGGTGGACAAGGCATGGGTTCACCTATGCAGGTATCACTTAATAAACATGTGTTCAGGGTAGATGTGC